ATACGTCTTGCCACCTACCATTCATGCCGAGAAGGTGCAACCCGACCCTCTTTCCAACACTGCAGTTTCTGATGAAGAACACTATACCCAAGTCGTTCTATCCATGGATGCTCCTGTTTTTGAACACTCTATTCCAGCTGCTGGTTTGGAGCATGGTACTTTGGGGTCCCATGAAGTATCTCTCCATAGTACAAGTACATATCCAAACGTATCTATACTAATTGTTATTGAAGAAAACTCACTTACATGCTAAAACACACGAGATTGCTTCTTTGATTTAATAAAAGATCAGCTGATATAATAAGTTGTTGTTTCTAAAGTTCAGCAACCTACACATGTCCGACATACTTTAGACTAATCTACTGATCAAGTGAGTGAGTCTTCGGATGAGGAATGACATGTCTATTCCAGGAGGAAGAAGAAGAATTGAGGCCGACTCGAGCCCAGGAACTTATTGGACGATACATTTTTTACTACTGACAATGACACTCATCTTACCAATTTGTTAGCTGGCTTCTTTCCTAGAACTAGAAGCATATACAAAGCAAAATTGGGTCACTCTCTAGCTACCTGATATTATGTGTTTTGACACTTTTTCTTTTTTGTCTTTCATGTATTTTTCTGTATTTTTCTTTTTTTGGAATCATTTGCAGTTGATGTTTTATTGTGTGGGTAAGGTGTCATGCTTGGGCCCTATCACACAATCTATCAGTATCATTTTTTCTTTTTAATATACTAGCCCTCGGGCTTTCTAAAAAAAAATGATGCAGTAATAGGTTAGAGAACTTATGGCGTTCGCTAGAATTTCGCTCGGCGATTCCCTGTGTTGATTCTTCAGTTTCACTACATCAATTTCGTTGTGCCCGACGACGAATAGTTTTGCGCCAATCAGTTTCGTCGTACTTGACGACGAAGGGTTTTTCTTTTTTCGACTTTCGAACATCATCTCCTCTTCTTGACGCATTCATGCTATTGATTCGTCCTGCTCGACATCAAAGTGCTTCTACCGAGCCTCTCTCGCACGGCAACAAATTTACTTGCCGAGCCTCTCTCGCAACCTTGGTCTTCGCATCCTTGGGTTGCAGATTGACGCGACTCGCCACGCTGCTCTAGACTCAGACCCTGTCTTGCCTGGTGGTGATGACCTCGACGCTCTGTTCTTATGCCACTGCACTTGCAGGTAACAATCCTACTCGTGCCCCTAATTCAGGTTCAAAGCCTGGTTTTGGTATCGGTAAGCCCTGCATTGTTCCACAATCTTTCAACGAGGCTCTTGATGGTGGTGGTGATCAAACTTTTATTAAAAAACTTAGTTAAAAAAATGGAAAACCTGCTCTTTTTCTCTGTGAAGTTGAAATCGGTACTCTTGCGTCTTCTTGGCGTTTTGCTCTTGTGGGGAAATTCCTTTATGATCATCGCGTCTTCTTGGCGTTTTGCTCTTGTGGGAAAATTCTTTTATGATCACCCTAAATATGAAATCATTTGGAAATATTTTGATGCTATGAAGCTATCAGATAGTTAGAATATTGACTTAATTAACGATCGACATATACTTATTTATTTATCTTACGATGCAAATTCATATTTTTTCTCGAAAGGTAATCAATATTGACAACCGTTTTATGAAAATCTTGAAGTGGATTGTCGGTTTTGATCCAAAATCGGAGTTTCCTATCATTTCTATTTGGATAATGCTTCTGGGGTTAAAACTAGACCTGTTCAACTTTGAAATTCTCTACTCCTTAACAACTGCTTACGGTAAGTCTCTCAAGGTTGATAGTCCTATGCTTGTTGTCACAAGACCCCTGTGACTTGTGTGCTAGTTGAAAGATATATCACCCAACCAGCTCCAGATGAGGTATGAATTAGATTCACTCACAACGGTTATGGACAAAATGTTGAAATAGAACCACACCCTCCTTACTGCTTTCATTGTAATATGTTTGACCACAATTATACTATTTGCTATCACTTGCATCATCATTTAAGGTTGGATATTGCTAAAGATAAACAACATGTTCAAAAATCTATTCATGTTGAATTACTGCTTTCATTGTAATATGTTTAACCGCAGTTCTACTATTTGCTATTGCTTACATCTTCATTTAAGGCTGGATATTGCTAAAGATAAGCAACATGTTCAAAATTCTATGCATGCTGAATTGGGGGTGGACGTCTTGCCACCTACCATCTCTACTGAGGAGGTGCAACCGACCTGCTTTCCAACACCGCGTATACCCCTGCTCTTCTGACTGACGCTGTTCTTGATGGAAAATCTTCTGATGACCCTTTTATTCAAACCTTTGTTGTCTCAGATGAAGAACATCATACCCAAGCCGTTCTACCCTTGGAGGCTCATGCTTTTGAACACTCTCTTTCACTTTTTGGATTGGAGCATGGTACTCTGGAGTCTCTTGAAACATCTCCCCATACTATTAGTGCTGATCCAAACATGTCTCTACCACTCATTGTTTATGAAGAATGCTCAATTACATGCCAAGACACACGAGAGTGCTCTTTTGATCCAATAAAAGTTCAGCTATTACAACAAGTAGATGCTTCCGATGTTCAACAACCTACACATGTCCGACATACTTCGACATTTAGACCAATCCACTGATCAGATGAGCCAGTCTTCAGATGAGGAGTGACAGGTTTATTTCAGGAGGAAGAAGAAGAATGGTGGCCGACTCGAGCCCATAAATTTATTGAACGACATATTGGTTACTACTGACAATGACACTCCTCTTACCAATTTTTTAGCTGGCTCTTTTCTTAGAACTAGAGGCAGAGACAGGGCAAAATTAAGTCGCTCTCTAGCTACCTGATACTACGTGTTTTGACGCTTTTGATTTTTGGGCTTTCAGCTATTATTTTGTATTTTCTTTTTTTTTTTTTGGAACCATTTGCATATGATGGTTACCGTGTTGGTAGGGTGCCATACTTGGGTCCTCTTATACAATCTGTATGTATCTTTCTTTTTTTCTAATATATTAGCCCTTGGGCTTTCTCAATAAATATATATATATATATATATATATATATATGATGCAACTGAATAGATTAGGATTTCAAAGTAGTTTTTATGTGTTTGTGTGTTGATAATATAGACGACATACTTTTGTCATAGATGCAATGACAATGCAAATAAAAAGCATCAATTATTTATTCGAGCTCGAGTTATTTGTTATCCACAAGATGCGAATGTAGAGCTAAATTGAGTATTGATGAGCTTTAAAGCTTTTTTATGTTTTATTGTCACACTTTGGTCAATTATAAGTAAAATCACAAAATTATGTTTATTATCATCAAAGTTAAAGTTAGAGGTCCAAATAGGTTCATGAGGTAATACCGAAGTTAACCTAAACCACGACCCCAAACACGACTAATTTTATTATTGAAAGTGAAAGACAAGTACAATGACACTCCTTAACCAGTGAGGGTATAAAAAACAGCCAACATGAGTGAATAGACAATAAACAAACAATTAAACAGTAAAAGGAAAGCGTAAATGCAGGAATTAGACTAAGCACATGTAAGAAAAAGTCCTGTATTGTGTCGGCAGGCGGTCGAGACGTCACCGGGGCTGTTGATGAAGGGTTGGCAGCGGTTGGGTGGATGTCAGAGTGACCGATGGTGACAGGGGCTGTGCTGTGAAAACTTGGATGGTCCGACGGGCTTCGGTAGGTGGTGCTGGAGAGTTTAACAGTGATTGGATGAGAGCTGCGGAGGGCTGCGACCTACTTGGAGGAGTGCAGGGAGAAGGGGCTGTGTCTGGGGGGAGCCGGGATGGACTAGGGCCTGCGGGATGAAGTGTGGTGGCAGTCGGACAGCCGGCTGGAGAAGCGGAGAGTGTGGCAGCGGAGGAGGATGACGTCGAGAGGAGGGGAGGGAGCGGAGATACACACCCCCTTGGCGGGATACAATAGTAGCACCACACTTCCAAATGTTACGTCACCAAAAAGCCCCTTAGACCTTAGAAATAACATTTATAAATAGGGAGGAGGGGAGACAACCTTGGAAGGAAGGAGGAGAAGAAATGGAAAGGGTTTGAAGGGGCAAGCAATAGCTAGGAGGTGGAGGGCGTGTGACAATGGCTAGGAGGCATGGTATTAGGGCACGGGGGGGAGTTGATCGTGAGAGATGAGCCGGGCGGCTTAATCAATTGCAGAAGATGAGCTGGGGGAAAAGAATTACACATCTTTTTAATAGCGTTGGACTGGTCCTATTGGCCGGACCGGTCCCTTTCTTGTCATGCCTGGTTGACGGGCGTGAGAAGCCCTGCATCATGGGATTGATGTTTATTCTTTTTGGGGTTAGCATGATAATTTTTGGTCAAAAGGTTTGATTTTACATGTTGAAATTTAAATGAAATAAGAAAAATAATTTGACTGATGGTAAAACATGATTATGTTTTACAATTATGTGAAGTAAAATGATTAAACATTTTCATTTTTTTCAACTGTATTCATTTAGGTTTGCCTTTAGTCTCCAGTTATTTATATAAGGTCCCATGAATTTTTTTCTTTTTTAATTGAATTTAAAAACTTTATTTATAACAGTATAACGTAGGCCTTCCAGCATGTTAGTTTAAGCACCTAGACCAAAGCAAAGTGGGTGAATTGTAATTCTTTGTTCAGATATTCTAGTTCATATAATATAGTTGCTATCCTGTTGTTGATTACTGTTTTGTAGTTGTGTGGAGAGCATAAAGTAACAGACCTTAGGGTTTATTTTCTAGTTCATATTGTATGGTTGCTATCCTGTTGTTGAATTGTTTCCTTTTTATCCAAAATCTGCTGTTTCAGGGGCCCGACTTGGGCAAGGGTGGCTAGTGAAATAGAGTGGCAAATAGCTATGGCTCTTGGTTGCTTGCTTTTGCTTTTCATTAATGGCTGCGATCATTTCTTTTATTTTAATTAGAAACACCTTTTTATGTTTAAACACTTAACTATTCATTCATTAATGGTAGAGTTGTTAATTCATTTTTACTATTGTAGATTTGGCCCATATTTTTGCCAACCAGTAATTGCGGGATTGGGAGATGACAACAAACCTTTCATTTGCACAATGGATTCCATTGGTGCCAAGTATGCCTTCCTACCAAGCTTTTAAATTGCCAAGTCATGCTGCAAAATTGTGTTATTTAGTAAAGCTTATTCTTCTTTCATTTTTTAATTAATTTAAAGCTTGTTAGCCTTTGCCATTGTGTTTGATATTGTCCTGCTTCTTTTGTTGGGCATATCATGATTTACTTTGCTGAGATAATATTATGCTATATATGTTGAACACTTTGAAGTGAAAAAGAGTTGAAATCATTTTATTCACTCAAAGCATCGGAATGTGTACTTTATAGTTCCAACTTGTTGAAAGCTGCTGCAAATGAAAAACTTCAGGATACTATAAAGACAATAAGAGGTTATAAACCTTAGCAGGGCAGTAAAGGAGAACAACTGAATCAATTTTTATCAGTTCTGGATAACGAGTTGTATCTAAGCTCATGTTCTTGCTCTCACCGATTTCTTTTTTGCATTGGCCAAGTTATTTGTTAAATATCAGAGTTAAGGACAATTTAACTGGCTCATTATTTTGTTTTATTTCAAGGAAAAAAATAGCAACTTTTCTGTTCAAGCACTATTTTCTTAGAAAAATTTTTCCAGATTTTTGTTTTGGGTTACGAAAGGGATTTAATTCTTTATACACGAAGCCAAGTTGTATATTTGGGAATTGAACTCCTCATTTGTTGATAGTGTTATAGGCCAAAAGTCCGAGCCTTATGGGAAAAGAAATGCATATTCGTACATGGAGCTTTCTCTAATTTAGGGTCAATGTGGAGGTATAGCGCAAGCTTAACGCTCCATTTCATCACTCAAATTTGGTACCTTTAGAATAAAGTAGAGGAAGTTTAATCAGCCCGCCCTACATGGTATCAATTGATATGAGTCTAGAGCATGCTGGTTGATAATCTTGGAAGTACGGCGGTCAAGTTTGAATGCTATTTTTTTTTTCGATAAAAATGAATTTGGTGTGGTTATCCTGTTGGTTAGTTTTTCTTTCTCAGTTTTCAAATCTTTTGGTCAAGTTGCTTAGTTTACTAGTTTCCATTGCACATTCCACCACTTCCATTTTTGACATTTGGACTTCTGCCCTCACATTTTTCTTTAGATTGACTTGTAATTTCTAAATTATTCCACTGATAATGATGTTTCTTTAAATGTTATATTTATCTTATGTTATCTTATTATGGCCGATGATCCTTATTTCTTTTATATTTGTTCAGAAAATTGCATTTTTATTCTTTCATAAATAGATCTTATTGAATAATCATGCTGTGTCTTTCTTCTCAACATGTTATTTGAGCAGGAAAACCCTTGTTGCCCCACCTGCTACTTAGTTGACATTTTTCTTCCCAACCTTGCCTCACATCTCAACTAGGGTTGCCAACGAGCCAAGCTGAGCTTGAGTTATTCAAAATTGAGCTTGAATTCAGTTCTACGAGTTTAATTGACTCGTTTATTATGAAAGAGGAAAAAATATTCTAATTTGAGTATTCATTGCAATAAAAAAGTAAAAGGATTGCAAAATTAGATGAGAAATAATAAGATATCACTTAAGATAACAAAGTTAGATATAATCTTTAAATATTTTTAACCAATTTTTACTCGAGCCCTTGAATGCTACAAGATTTTAAGTTATTTCATTTTAAAATTTTTTAAGTGGGCTGACTAAGTTACCCCATGGCCTCAATGCTCTGCAATGTGCTTGTTGGCTCACTTTGTATTCTACTTGCATGCCTCGATTAATCAAATTGTGTTTGCACTTGATCTCTTACTTGCTCGCTCCATTTTTTGCTCATGCAATTTTATTTTATGCATTAATCACTCTTGTGCTTCCCTTTGTGCTTGCGCGCTCTTGCCTGCCTTGTGTTGCTGCTCTCTGCATTGCTTTGCTTCCCATGTACTTGTACGTCTGTGCTTCTTGGCTTAGATTCATATGCTTGCGCCTATTTTTCTTCGTTCCATTGATATTATTTCAATCATCTATTTTTCTTATTGACTATGTGCTTGCACGCTCTTACCTTCCTTGTGTTGCTGCTCTTTGCATTGTTTTGCTTCCCATATGCTTGTGCGTCTGTGCTTCTTGGCTTAGATTCATATGCAAACCTGTGCCTATTGTTTTTTGCTCCATTGATATTATTTCAATCATCTATTTTTCTTATTGACTATCATTTGCTACCCAGAGTATGAATCTTCTCTACATTGGTATGAATTCTTTCTCTTTCCTCTTCTCAATCTCATAAGGTGCCATGGCCTTGTAGTTTCCTCTAAATGATTCAAAATATTATCCCACCATTGGCATGTCAATCAAATTTATCTATTGTGATCAAGGCATTTCACTTTTTAGTTGGTTCACATGACAATCTCTTCCCCCTAGATGTTTCTCCTTCAGCTCATGATGATACTACCAAGTTCTTCAAATGGAAAACTTATGATTATGCCGTTTTCATTTGATGCTCCACAATTATGTTTCATGGACCTTTTATTGCACCACAATTATGTTTAATGAGATTCCCAATATAATGTGAGATTTTCAAGGTTCTATTTATTTCTAGGAAAGTTAGCACTTCTAGGGCATAAACATTGTATTGTGATTTATTTTTTATGCAACATAATGATTTGTTCCTCCATGATTACTATAGTAACTTGCAGGGTAAGTGAGATGAGTTACTTTCATAGTTCCCAATCAACAAACCATGATTTCTTAGTTGTTAAATATCTCCATGATTTTCATCCTTCTCCTCAATTTGTGTAATCTCAGCTGTGGCAGATTCTATAGTTCCCAATCATACTATTACTTTTACTTTTATTGTTTATTATAGAGATTTCATCTCTCTTAACACTAGTTTCTGAGAAGTTTGTTTTTGCTATGGGGCATAGTGACGGTCATGGTCATAGTTGTGGTCGGATTGAAGGTGTTCGTGGATGTTTGTATGCCTTACCCTCTGCTCTCAGTGTTATGTTTTACATATTCTCCTCCACAATCACCATTCCTCACAAGTTTTATCATGTACTCTCACAAAGAAGGTTGGTGATCATCAGATCATGTATTTCAAAGTTAAAACTCACTTGATAATCATTCAAATTTTAAAAATTTATTCTAATATCAATATCCTCATACTCGAAGATGGCTCAGTTGGATAAGTTATTTTCAGTATACGATATATACTTATATTCATGTGACTAATATATCAATATCCTTATATATGTCTTAGTCTGGCTCATTGGTTGCGGCTTTTGGTGTAAGTCCCTTGGGTCGGGAGTTCAATCCTTGCATAAGATCAAATTGCGCACCTTTCTGGAAGGGGGGTCCGCACCTCGGTCAGACTGTGAGGTTGGTCGGTGATCAACCTTTTGAATATGCAATTGATACTATCCTTGGAAAACCTTTGCAGGTAGACTTATATACAGTTCATTTCTCAAGACTCTTTATTACAAGAATTTTGATTGAATGAGATATTACACTACAGATGTAGAAGAAGTTTGACTTGGATCTGCTCACAATGGTTATTGTCAAAAAATCATTATGAAACAAAATCAATACTGCAAGCACTGCAAGATGTTTGGACACCTGCATTAGAAATGTTTCAGATTGCACCCGCAGTTGAGAATCAATAGTCAGAAGCAGTAACACACTATTAGTGCACTTCATGTGCTTGAACGCGCTTCCAACAAACCTGATGACAACCAACCTGAGGAGGGAATCACCACAAGAAAAGAGTTGGTGTCTGCCCCTGGGATTCCTTCTCCTGACCATACTACAACGGATAATGTTCAAATTGAAAATCAGGATAGTCCCGCAGCTCCTATTCAGGAAACATTAGGTGCAGGGGTAACAATTCATACTTCACATACACTGGAACCTATCGCGGTGACAACGACTGCCTTTCCTCCTACTGCGGTTCTAACATCAAATCAGATCGAGGATCACGTGAGCCAGTTTTCAGATGAAGAATGACGGGTTTACACTTCTCGGCGGAAGAAGAAGACTGGAGGTACACTCCAACTTGGAAATTTAATATATGATACTTTGGTGACTCCTAACAATGACACAACTTTTCAAAGTTTATTATCTGGTTCCGCTCGTAAAACTAGAGGCAGAGGCATGACTAAACTGACTCGTCCCTAGATAAATTTGTTTTACATTTTATTGAGTCTATCTGTATCTTTTTGTTGGGATATTACTGTACTTGTATCGTATGGGTAGGGTGACTCTTTTGGGCTCTTTTTATACAACCTTTATGTATCTTTTTCAATTTCAATAAAATCAGCCCTCGGGCTTTTCCACAAAAAAAAAAAAAAAAAAAAAAAAAAAGTACCCGATACAAACACTATTGAGTTGACCTAAAATTAGCTCCAGTTGAAATTGAAATCGTTGAGTTCAAGTTAGAATTATATTTAGTTCAATGTACTGGCACCTCTATGCCTGCTTATATTATTTCTTTTTTTGGTTTTGCTACAACTGCCTCATCTGATGTGCCTGACATTTTAGATTTAGGTGTTTCTTCAAACATGGCCTACAATTGATGTCTGATATCCTATATGAACCTTTTTTCCCTACCACTTATTCTTGTTGCCTATGATCCTCTTGCTCTGATACGAATACGGGACATGTTCATGATAATATAACACATTGTTTATTAAAAAATTAAGACATGAACATGAATTGGATACATCATTATAATATTTTATCTTATAAATTAGAAAAAATATATAGTAATTATATAAAATAAATAAAAATGAAATGAATTCTTATGATAATTTAAATTAAATCTAATCAATCGAAAAAAAAAAGTTGACCGACAATATCTTAAATTAAATTGAAGAAAAAAATAATCACATCATATTGTATATTATTTGGTTTAAGTTGAGAATATTGATTTCTTTTAGAAAAATAAAAAATAATCATTATAAAAAACTCTTAGAAAATAAAGCAGAATAAGGAAAATAAAATTAGTGCTATGTAGTTATTAAATTATTTAAGAAATATATTTAAAAGTAAAAGAGAATATATTTTTAATTTAAAATAATCTATTTTTAAGGATAACATTTTTTATTCATAAAACTTGTGTTGAGAATGCATGTTTGTTAGTTTTTTAATGTTTTAATTGAACACATTAATATTGTGCCTGACATGTATTTAGGTACGTGTTGGGAAAATGAGTTGAGTTTGAGCGATTTAGGATTTTGTTCATATTCAAGTCATTTAAAGTTTGATGTCTTTGCATTTAACTTGTGTTTGAAACTGTTTGTGAATAATATATTTGCGTTCGATTCTTAGAATTCGAATCGAACATGAGCCAAATAGGAGATTTATTGCGTTTAAAAAAATAAAATCTTAGATTTATCTGTTTTTAAAAAGGGCCAATGAGCTTGTCCATCCACTCCAACTACAATAATTCATAAACTCTTATACCCCACCATGGTTACAATTTCTAAAGACTAAGCTTTGTTCTATAATTTAAATAGTATAAAGTTAAGTGCCCAAATGATGTGAGACTAAATGAATGCAACATTGTTATGTTTTAATTTTCTTGTTATTCTCTTTATGCTTAGCCAAAATTAGGGAATGTTGGCACAAGTTATTGGAAATGTATTTTCACCTTTTTTATTTTATACGTGCGCGCATACACACATATTGAGCCGCTCTTTGTTTGTGCTTGCCTTGATTATTTAACAAATGAATTTAACACGAGCTTTTTAACGAGTCAAAGATCACCTGTTATGAAAAATTAGCTTTTCTTACAGATATACATTGGTTCGACATGACACACTTCATTATCACGAAGTGCTGGTGCATTATAGTTTATCAATGATGCCTTTTCTGCAGTCTCTCTCTTTATTTTATATGCTTTATGCTTCTAAATTTGCTTTCAATTTACTATCCATTTATTGTTTAATTAAATCTTATAATTATTGTGCTCTTTTACTATTCTCATCTTGTTGTAATTTATTGTAGTTTGTGAAATATGATTAGCGACGGTGCCTTATTCTCTAGCATTGTTCTATGTCAGTGGTATTGTAGCCTAGGTCAATTTGTATCTTCTCGACTTCAAAATTTTTTTATTATTCTTCCTCTCGATTTATTTTTGAATAAGACCCAATGAACTTGGGAAATATCATTACGCTTCATTTCCTTTTTCTAGGTTGATTATAGGTCCACATCATTTGAGTTGGTTCATTGTAATATTTGGGGCTCTAGTTTTGTTCCTATTCATTTAGATTTTTAATTTTTGTTTTTTGTATTGATGATCATTCTTGTGTTACTTGAGTTTAGAGTGAAAGTATGAGGTTTTGGTTGTCTGTCACTTTTTTCATCGAGAAATAAAGGCTCTATTTTTTATAATGATTAAAATTAAACTTGTTTATTAATAATGCCCTTAAATATATTTAGCCTCATTTCTTTTCCTTTGTTGACAATGGTGTCATTTATCAAACATCCTATCAATAAAAATATATAGCCTTAATTCCACTCAGACATGCCTCGTGAACTATGTTATTTTGGTATCTATGTTGATGATGTTCTTCTTACTAGGAATGATCAAGAACGGATGACTGAGGCAGAGCACTACCTTCAATGTTTTCTTTTTTTTCAATAAATGATTTGGTAACCTAAATATTTTGTAAGCATTTACAACAAAATTTTTCGTTTACCATCCCAACAACAATAGGCTACTAATCTAAAGGAAATACGTCCCTTATGTTGTAAACTTGCTAATATTTCTATTGATACTCCGAATACTATTAATTGAGAAGAATTTTTTTTTGTAAATTTTATGTTAACATAGATTGTTGGTAAATAGATCTGTCGTACCGGTACCAAACCCAATGTCTCTTTCTTTCATGGAGATTTAAGTTAGAATATGCAAGATCTTAATCAAGAACATTTGGATGCTATTAATCATATTGTTAGGTTTGCTAAGAGGTTCTTGGGGATGGGAATCCCTTACACCAAGGATGGGCATCTTAATGTGGGTGCCTTATTTGATGTTGACTATAATGGAACAGTTAATTGTAAAAAAATCATCTATGGGTGCTTTATATTTATTGGAGCTAAAAAATTCTTATCTGGGTACTTTATACTTATTGGAGCTAACTTTCTTACATGGGAAAATTTTAAAACGATGAAAAAGTAAAAAAAATTATTAAAAAAAATGGAGCAGATCAAGTATAAAGTCAGTATTTGCAATTATGACACTCCAGATGTAAGATGTTCTGGGTCAAACCACTAAAGAGGGATTTGTCTTTTGGACTGAATAGCCTATAGTCTTATATTGAGGCAATTGTAACCAACTACATTTCTAATTATCTATTATTTCATAAAAGAATCAAACACATTGAAATTGATTCATTTATTTGTGCTTGCAAGGAAGTTTCTCACTTGTGGTTCCGGCTGTGAACACTTTGTGGATATATTCACCGAACTTTTTGAGTCATTTAGTTTTCAAAAATATGTAACAAGTTCTACCTTAGGGAAGAGTATAAAGTTATATTATTATTGCTGGTAGTCCTTTATTGATTTGATAGTCTTTCAGGATATTGTATTCTTATTCCTATTATTAATAGGAGATTTTTCTAATAGATAAACAATATTTCTTTCCTCTCAACATTTTCCAGAATAAATGTCTTTGCTTGCCGTGATCTTGATGATGTGCTTTGTAGTGTCTGCATTGGCAGAGTTCTGCAACCCCTCCCATTGCGAGCATTTTATCTAGATATAGGTATTTAATGGTCTTGGAGGATTGTTACGTGCTCTTATTCTTTAGATACTCATATGGGCAATGGTTCTTAGTCAGTGGATCGAACTTATGGGCTGCTTCTGCAACACCATTGGAGGCTTTGTCTCTTCTTTGAGACAGGTACAGAACAATAGCAGAGAAAACCAGCTGAGGTGGAGGAGGGTGATGGTGGCATGGACGTGGTGGAAATGGTTGAGAAGATGATATTGGGGCATTTTGATATCCTTGTTATTAAAAAAATCATCTTGTAAAGTGTCTGGTGCTAACATTAATGGCATTCAGCCTTTAGGCTCCCAAAGAAGGTCACAATTATTGGGAGTAACGTGTAATGGGACTTGAAGTATATAGACCTGAATTTTTTTTGCCCAAAATATTATGATGTTAGTATCATTATCTAAGAAATAATAGTGGAAAGTGAGGACAGTTTTTTTTAAGGCATTCTTACAAAATAAAGCATATTGTACTATTATTTGTCTTCACTTGCTCGATATTGTTGTCTCAAGGCTTTCTTTCTATTTAGTGGATGGATCTAAATGGAACTGAAAATTTAATTTTCTTGCTTATGATGCGACTCAATTTTTTGGTGCAGGGAACTTGCGAAGGACTTTGTTGTTGCTGGAACAGCAGCCGAGTCACTCTATGGTGCTTGTGAGTCCATGTACAAGCCTGACATGGTTAGTTTATTTTCTTGGTTGAGTCCATGTACAAGCCTGGCATGTTTAGTTTATTTTCTTGGTCGAGTGCTTGCCAGAATTGGCAACTGTGGCCAATTCTTTTAGAATTACCTAGGTCTTTTAAAAAATTCACACCAGTAGCATTTCTAATTAAAAAAATAATAATTTGCATAAAAAGTTGGTTAATGTAAGCATTTTTAGATTAAACCAGCTTACTCTCATAATTTCAATTTTTTTTATTTTTTTGATGGGTTCAAACCCTTGACACTCTTTGGATAAAGGCAATACCGCTCAACTAAGTGATTGGTGTTATCAACCAATTTTTAGTTTTAATGCTATAAAATTCTGTTATGATTAGAGCTTTGGATCCCGGGGAACTGCACCAACTAATGGAAACAATTGTCTGAGAGTGGGCACATCTTTTTATTATTTATTCTTACAGAAATGTACTCATCTGCTTAATCATAGTAGGCTTTAAACAAAAGAGGGAGAGCTTTATGGCAGCAGAAGGATAAGCTTAGAACTAGTTGTTTCATTATTTCTTTTCGAAACTTGTTATGTCTTTAATGTTTTGGTCCTCATGCATATATTGATACGCTTTCATTATTTATTTTGCCGCTCAAGGAACCTGAAGAACTTTTTGAGATTATTTCACAAGCATTACTAGCATCTGTGGATCGTGATTGCTTAAGTGGATGGGGTGGCCACGTCCTGCTTGTGTAAGTGCATTTGGTTATTTTGTTTAAATTTTGAGATTATCTTGTTGGTTTATTACGTCTACAATTTATAGAAACTGTGCTTATTATAAAGAACTTTATTGGTATGTCACTGGTCGGTTTCTAGGGACTAACAATACTGGAGTTTTTCTGTGATGTTTTTATTAACATAACAGTTATCATAACTTGCTTGGAAAAGTACTAGTTAAATAATTAAGCAATTTTTTTGATAGTACCATATGTTAAAAGAAAAACATTTGATTTATGATATATGTAAATTCTGTGAATTCCTTAACACGCTACTTCCAAAATATGTAGTAGCAAAAATGTTCATGTTTAAAGTGCATGACATCATATATATATATATATATATATATTAATATGCGACCAGAACTCCGAGAGCTCCTTGCCGATCTTCTCCGATTTTAGTAGTTGTTGTCAGCTGAGGGCATTAGACAACTCAAATGCGAACTCCTTGGAATCTTTTACTCGATAAATTGGGCGGCGAGTGCGGAATCAATTACGAGTTGCGACCGTGACACCGTTTGCAGGCGTCTGCCCCAAGTGGTCGTGGCTCCATGAGAAGCGCTTTAATTTTGCTCTATGTTCTTGCAGGATCTATTGTGATTTGGCCATCGTATCTGCTTTCAGTTTATGAGAGAACTGACACAGCTTGTGCGACGAGCTCGGTATCACCAACTGTGACTTTGAGGCGCTCGATCAGAAACTCTTTGAAGAGGCGTCCTGATCCAAGTAGCAGACCAACGAAGAAAGTTGTTCTAAGCAGTAGAACGATTATGCGTTCTTCTGTGCGTCGAGGATAACCGCCACGAACTCCTTAGTTCCCTTTGGTGACGCCATAGTAAAGAGTCTGACGCCCAGGCAAGAAAGTCATGGAATAGCAGCTTTCGCCCGTACAAACTAGCATCGTCGCCACAATCTCTTTCTTGTGCTAGCTGCTCACCACTCTTACGTTAGCGTCGTAGATGAGGGTGGCGAGCAGGCCATAGAGTTGCGAACCCAACTGATGTTGGTGATGACGATGTTGTGGTTCACGCTAAAGCTATCCGGCCCGAACAACTCCGATGTTGCTGACAATGCACCCGTGAACTTGAACCCAGTGCTCAGCCCCACCAGAGCCATCAGCACTAGTAGAGCATGCTCATTGTTCGCCTCGGCATTTGCCACAAGCTGCAAAAAAGCCACCGACATCATCACCAGCACTGCAGCGAGCCACCCAATTCCATCAAGACCATGTGCACAGAGTCTGACGTCCAACGCCGCTCGTGCATCGTGAATCCCTTTATTTTCTTTAAAGACAATTCAACATTCCGATCCGGTTAATCAATTTTATATCAGGAGAGATCGAGGGAATAAAATGTAGATAAAATTATGGCTGCATAGGCTCAGGTTGGCTGGCAGCAGCCTTTCAGGATCAGCATGGGCACATTGTTAGTGGACTTATATAAAGTCTATTTGCTGTCATTAACTATAGATATCACTGACTGCTTCAAATGGCACAACCAGATCTCCCCTCTCAGAATAGAGCCCACTGTTGTCTTCCTTGCTAGCTTTCTCGAACAGCTAGCAAATGCCAGCCTCCTTTATAGCCTTCAATCCACAGGTCTTCCTGTCACCGCCATCTTTTTCAGAACAGAGATCCATTGCCGCCTCGATATAGAAGTTCAATTGCTGAAGTCCTGTGCTTGTTCATCTTAGATTAAGCCATTAGTCAACTTCCAGGAGCTGGATAAGCACCATGCTGCCAATCCCATTGTTTTATTTTCTTTTTGTAAGGATGATAAGTCAGCGGGACAATGACAGTTAGAGATTATGGTGGCTAGAAATTACCATTAGGAGTTTAAACATACTTTCGAACTTGAAATATTTGCAGTAAATTCAGATTTGTATCTTGGGTCTTATCCAATACATAAAGAAGAGCTATAAGAAAATTTAAGGCTAATCTTCAAAATTGTTTTTTAGTTATTATCTGTTTCTTTCATTTATTTTAGAGGAGATTTTCTGTCATAGTTGATTTAATGACAACATGCGAAGGAGACAGAATGCTGTTTCCATGATTGCTGGTGTCAAATTTGTGGCAAATTAAGCACATGTTGACCGGCAATAGTTTTTTATGCCTGGGAAGTTCTCTTCTACAATTTATCATTTGAAAGAATCTCCAATACAACCAAATTGCTCGCTTCCACATACTGCAGGTTCTTGGGCTTAGAAAGCTATGTTTTAATTTTTATTCTTGCAGTAAGTCTTTTTTTTTTTCTTCTTAATCTAGGCTTCATATAGGATAGTTTCTTTGTGGTGTTTTTCATGGAAAAACTGTTAACAATAATTAATGACGATTTTTCACAACCTCTTAAGAATTTTTTCGTAAAAACATATTGGAAATTGTGGTTTTGAAAATAATCGTTTAATGCAAAAAAAGATTGCCTCAACAGAAGCAAGTCTATCTGTAACGAAGTGCATGACCTGAAGCTAATACTAAAATCTTACTTCCTAATACTATTTTGGTGGTTGTGTACTGGAGTTTTAAACCATTATACAGTATGTGGAGAAACCTCGCCTTACTTGAACCGAGCTCTTAACAGTTTTTTCCTATTCAGAACTCTTAGTGTGGAAAGAGTTTCTGGCGTATTCTAGTAAGTTATTGCATGCTATGAACTGACTCATGAATGGATTCATTGGTGGTAGAAAGAAGAGGCATAAAGCCAAAATAAAACTAATGTAAAGAAAAACTAGAGATTAAATCTATAAAATAATATTTCTATTCGTAGTTTACATGTTCTGCTGTCCTTAAACCAGTGACGCAATAGCTAATTTTGACTGATTCTCTCCATTGATTCTTTCAGATATACTTCCCGCTCTTTGTTTATTTATTTTATTCCTTATGTTGTAGGACACCAACTGAAGTGCAGGAAAGGACACTAAAAGGAAGAATGGATTAAACTTGATTGATCTGTGGAATAATGAATCCAAACGGTTACTTTTCTTCCCTACGATGCCGCCTTTTTAGTTTAAAAAGATTTGCCAAAAAACTTTCTGTTCTATAAGAACGCATCTTATTATCTGGGATTCAGATTTTCTGTTCTTCAGGTGTTCATTTTGTACTGAAACTATTCTGTTAAATTTTTATGCATTTAGTTACGATTTCTGTTTCTTTTTATTTTATTTTATTTATTTTTTATCACATCATGATTGTTTCTTTTTATTTTATTTTATTTATTTTTGATCACATCATGGTTTAAAAAGATTTTACATAAATAGCCATATATATATACACAAGCGTATTAAAAAGATTTTACATAAATAGCCATATATATATATATATACACACAAGCGTGCGCACACACATATTTCTGATGGGAAGGATAAATGATTAAATATTATATTAGGGTTTGTTACCTACATTGCACTCAAAACTTCATTAATTAAATATTCCACACTTAAATCATTCTAATTACAAAAAGTAATAGCACCCCCCGTTCTCTCCCATCTTCCCCGTCTAATTTTCGGGGATCAAAAACGTTGGTTAGGGTTTTGTGGAATGGAATTCTGTGAAAGCTATATATACATGGGAACTAGGGGCCGATTCAAGCAATGATGCTGCCGGTGGCTGTCTCAAGCGAGGTGTTGCTCCAGGGATTTCTTAGCTCTTTCGGTTTTCCTTTATTATGATTTTTATCGCGTGCTATATATACATGGGAACTAGGGGCCGATTCAAGCGATGATGCTGTCGGTGGCTGTCTCGAGCGAGGTGTTGCTCCTGGGATTTCTTAGCTCTTTCTGTTTTCCATTATTATGATTTTTATCGCGGATGGTTTTCTAAATCGTTATTATGGCAAGTTTAGCTGCACTGAATGGCTTTTACCATTCGGGCGATTTAGTGAAGAAAAAAAGAAGTTAATTTAGTTGAGGGGTTTTTTAAATACATAGCACTCCTAACTTTAGTAATTACATATTCCACACTTAAAACATTCTAATTACAAACACCACACCAAAAACAAATTATATGTTAAGGTAATAGCTTGAATATTTTGAAATTATCAATAGCTTTCATTTTGAAATACAGAAAATGTAATTTTTTTGTGCATTAAATGTAATTTATAATGTGTGGTTCACTAGTAACAAAAGCGACATTTGTGGAAGAAAATTTTACAAGTCCAAGAAATTGTTCAGACTAGGATAGTAGGTATTTTACACACAAGGAACTTGACAAGGACAAACAGAAAAAATACAATTGTTTGTGTACAACCAGAAACAGTACTAAAGTCTTCTCAGAATTACATGTCCTCTTAAAACGGTATGATTTAGAACAATATAGTGAACGAATAATACAAATCATTTCCAAGAATTGTAAGTCTCTTAAAACGGTATGATTTAGAACAATATAGTGAACAAACAATCACGAATAATACAAATCATTTCCAAGAATTGTAAGTCCTCTCAAAACTATTATATTGGATAAATTACTGTTAAGAAGGAAGATGATTGTCTTGATTTCTCTCTTCTTCTTCTTTGCCTGTTATGCATCATTATTCAGCTGCAGCGATCCATCATTATCCAGCTGCAACGATACAAATTCATGATTCTGAATAAATTCTGATATAAAATGATAAACAAAACTTATCAGTATCCACATCATTGATAATGCCGCTGATGACTACATCTCAGTTGTAACATGCCTAGTTAAGGGTACCCAAACGTACATCTTAGATAGAAAAAGAGATTGGAGATCATTACCAATCTCTCCTTTTTTAAATGGATAAACAGAAAATTATCAAATACAAAGCTGTAGTTGTGCGCTTTTTTTCTTACAGCAATCAGGAGACCAATCTCGACTGAAGCTAAATCCACACCAAGAAATGCTCCCAGGCGAGCAATGAAATCAAATTTATCAACCTTCCAGATGAGAAAAACTGCTTCGTAAGTTCGATAAAAGCATAAAGGTTCACATCCTTAGACAACTTCAACATGTAAGTTTCCTCCAAGTGGTATTCTTCTTTTGCAATTAATTGTTTGCGTTTTTGACAACAAAATCCTAAACAAGCAAGTTATCAGAAGATTCAGAACCTTTGTTGCTCATCATAATGAGATACAAAATAAATCAACCACTGTTTTCTATCAATAATGGGGTCAAGAAATCCAATATAACCCATCTACTAATGGGATTCTTATTTCTTCCAATCATAAACCAATTCTATATATAAATTATGATTAATCTTCAGATTGAAGTGTGTAAATCAAGTCTTTCATCTCCAGTCAAAAATAACCCAACATGATTCAACCATTTATATGAATCAGCACCCCTGCTAGCACACTTGAGAGGAATAATTATGAACATCTACGTAGATCAACAACACCTTATGTAATAAAGAAATAATATAAATATATTAAAGAATGGTCGGAGGCTATTATAAAAGACCCCAACCACCCTCATGTGCCTAACTATTTGAGGACCGATCTCACTACTGACAAATTAGCTAGAGGGGGATTCCAATCTGTGATTTGAGGAGACTTACGACCTTTGCTCTACCATATATATATATATATATATATACACATACATACATGCTATAAAAAGCCATGAGAATTCCTTCTCCAGTTAAATAATTTAGGAATTTAGGACATTACCTGGAAGTGGAACGAACTCCACAGAATCTAAGGCTAACATGTTATGCTTACTAACCAAATTAATAGATACATTCCTTCACTAGAACTGCATCTTGAATAAGGAATAGATTCCATGGCTTCTCTTGACTTTCTGAAGTGTTATTTTCTAAAATAATTTTAAATGAAATGTTCAATGACCACAGTAAGAAGTTTTAAAATGTTCTCATTATGCTGGTATAGTTTAAATTGTCCTTGGGGATAAATTCATAGATGATTTATCCCTATTAGTTTATAAGTGATACCTTGTTGCCTTGTACAAGTCCTGTACAAGCAACCATTTTTTTGAGATTCTTAGCAGCTTTTTTTGCAATTGGGGCTGCCAAAAAAGGTTTATGGTTTGTGAACAGTTTATGTTTGCTTTTTTTGAGCTCATTTTAAAATTAGCAAAACAGAAATACAATCTTGTTTGATCGTGTTTGATTTATTAATCTTCTTTATTAAATTAAAATAAGTATCTAATTTAAAATGAAATTATAAATTTTAAACTTTTTATGATTTGAGATGAATGAGTTGAACAAGCTCATTGGGGATTGAATGAATTGAACATGGGCATGATAGTTATGAACAATATCAAATATGAGACTAAAAAAAAAGAAAGAACCAAAACACAAAAAAAGAAGAAGAGGGACAATGGTTAGGGAGCAATATCATAATACGTTTAAGATTAGCTACATTCCCCTTTAAATACAAAAGATTTCATTCTAGTCATCTAATGGTATAATGATGCTAGCTATATGGAGAATTTTCTTCAATGCACTTGGAATGTGTAGGCTTATTGAGCATCTTGGATTTCATGACTTTGATTCATTAAAAAATGTAGAGGTTTGTTCTTCATTATTATGTCTTCTATCATTTACTTCTAGTGGCAATCCCAATTGCGATCAAGTTTTTATTTAGTTAGATTCCACTTTAAGCTATGTTCATCACTAGCCTTCCCTTCTATAGCCTTTAAATATGGGAGACCATACACAAACAAAATAAGTAACCATGATCTTTAAATTAAGGAGAAAATGAATAGAATAGATGACGCAATTGGAGAAGGAATCTTTTTATGAGTGTATTGAATTAACTTGTAGCATCAGAGAACTACCTTAGCTACATAACGAACAAGCCCTAAAAATGTCAAGTCATTTTCATTAATATTTAATTTTTCATAATTAAAATAAAATTTTGTATTTATTTAAAATAAAAATAAATGTCAAATAAATATAAAATATTTTTAGTTTAATAAATTTTACTCTATTCAGTGAGCACATGAATATTTTTATTTTATTTTTGTGAATTTTCTACACTAAGATATGATTTTTCTAAGTTTTATTTAATTTTCTGTAATTAAATAAACCAAGAAAATCCAATTTTTTTACTTAACCACGGAGGCGACTGTCGGTCGTATATATATATATATATATGATTTTTTTTTGAAAATAGTATTTTAATTTTGAAAAAAAAAAGACTAACAAGATCTCATTCATTTAATAATTTATATAAACGAGCACAACACCGCGAACAATGCATCTATCCCGAAAAATAGACACATTACAGAATATTGGGATTCAGTTAAATAAATTAAAGAATTTATGACATCTATTTGGTTTGTGAAATATTTTATGTTGATCAATAAGTTCCCCTATCTAATATAAATAATTAGATATGATTTATATTACATAGGTTCTAAAGCTTCCTATATGGCAAACCCCTATAGTTAATTACATCTCAAATGACCGAAGTCGCTTAAGCAAACTCCCGATGATGTTCATAGGCATTTGTCTTCAAAAATTCAATGTTTAGGGTTTCAAGGTCAGATATGGAAAGTCAAATGGGAATGGATCAAATAAGAACATTTATTTTGGAATTCAAAGGGAAGAAAAAATAGAGGATGTCGTGGATCTTGAGGATAATCTCAGTGACTTCCCAAACTATCATTTTGTGTGGCTTTATTTTTTGGAAAAGTATTTATTTTCATGTTTCACCTTGCCAATTTTATTATTTAGAACTCACATTTGCATGACGCGGTCATACAAATGACCTAGAAGATATGAGGGTTTATGTCGTAACGAGCGACAACCTCAGAGCGTAAAGAGAGTTGGGGCTTAGATTGCACAACATCATTGTGCAAATGCCTAAAAATAAATTGAGGATTTACATCGTGCTAGACGAGCTACCTCGAAGTCCTATGAATTATTGTTTGATTATAGGGAGAGTTTCGTTGATGTAGATTATCGTCCTCCATCTGCTTCGGCTTGCTCCAAGTTCCTCGTTGATAGCAGCCCCAGGTTTAGTATCTTATGTCTTATGTTTTTAGTTTCAATCATCGTTAATCCAATTAATTAATAGGTATGTGTTTAAATTTTATAGTGATTCATCCTAGATAAATAGACTATTGTTTTCTATCCTAAAGGTCTGACAAATAAATAGAATATACATGAGTAAAGCATGTTGTAGAATGCAATAAAGAAAAACAACAAACTAAAGCATTGCGTACCTAGGCCTCTGCTACTATAGCAAAAAATGTAAGTA